TAGTCTAATATTATCACAGATATCTGTGGATATTATTTTCAATTTTGGTATGTTGATAAGATTATGAGAATAAAATTCTGTTATCATTATTTTGTTCATGGCGTAAAAATGTTTTTACCAATTTYTCCAAGAATGCCCACAAATGTATGGTTTTCTCTTTTGCACAATGTTGGCTTAAGTTATCTCTCTCTAAACGCAGTCCATTCTATTATGTCTATGGGTATCCCCCTTGGTATATTATGCTTTATTACATTTCTTATCACACTCCGGGAGAACAGTTACTAGGTACCCGCCAAAATGTTCAACGCTTGTTATTATTTATTATTGACTACAATAAAGTATTGTATTATTTGTATTTGGTTTAAGCCTTTAAGTTTAAGGTTATAAACAATATAAACTAAAACTATCCCCTATGGCCATGGTCATTGGTCACTATTTACTTTTAAGAATTTTACTGTTCTGCAATACAAGGTAGATGGATACTTTTATTTTGTAGTTTGTGACTGTGTGACACATTTAACATATCATAGCAGCTGATGAACGGAAGTCGTGAGATGAGTTTTAGGTTTTCGTCCAAGTTAATCGCAGTTTGACACTTGCGTAATCGTAATTAAATGTGTTGTGTATACTTTTTTCACTCCAGTTTTCCATAAATTGCATTAGGTATATGGTACATCACACGTCTTACTCACCAAAAGTGAATTGCTTCGCATCAYTGTATATTTCATATTAATGAATTTGGTGAGACGTCAATATGTCCAAAAACACGTTGTTTAATTACTTTACCAGATCACCCAGAACTGGGTCTCCTAAAACGAATGGATCGCCCAAGCCCGATGGAGTGGTGGCATCGAAGACTCTGTCAAAACGCCAGTTGTCCAATACTAATAAGGGTAACTCAATCACTCCTAAAAGGACACCAAAGTCTGGTGTGAATGGAAGTTCAGGAAAAAAAAACGTCAGCAATAGTTCAAAGAAAATTACTGAGAAAAGAAAACCGAAACCACTGGGTAATAACTAATAATATATGTTTTGATATAAGTATTAAGTAGGTTCCTACTTACCTATTGTTGATTGATTTTGAAAATTTGGTCACTATTACTATTAAATTATTTGATAAGAAAGTGTAAATAGTAGGTACAACATTTTTCAATTTTTAAGAACTTGTTTTTAAACCCCATTTTTTTATTGTTATGACAAATATAGGTATCTACTCTAATATGATATGCTATGAACTTTTTGACTACTCTTGTATAAAATATATATAATTAAATATAACTGAGAATAGAACTTAATTTATGTTGAGGAATAATTAAGGATAATTATTTCTATTTATACTGATAAGACTTAATAATTGTACAACTTGTCTCATTCACCATAGGACTAATTATCCATATTATTCGTTAAATAAACTGTATCTAACTAATCAAAATAACTCTTTTCTCTAGTATTTACAAGGTTTTTTATATTATAAAAATGTAATTATAGAATATTTACTTATCAAATATCCTACAATTTTACAATAACAATTTCATGTTTATTTATTTATTTAATGTTTTTAGAAGAATCTATAGAAGACAATGAAGAAAATGAAGAGTTGCCTATGAAGAAACGCCGCAGACTTGCATTAGAAGATTTAAGTGATGATGAAAAAGATTTGGGTGGTGATGAAGAAGATTCAGGCGATGAATATGTACCAGGTAATCGTTGTAAATTAATAATTTATAATTGATCCTAGTTCTTATATTTAATTTAAGTTCTGTATCAATAATTAATATTTATTGTGTTTTTAGATAAGAAAGCTTTAAATGATTCTGAATCTGAAGAAAGTCCTGATCCATCTGACAATGATTCATTTATTGATGATGAATCTGATGAAGAAATATCTCCTGTTAAAGTATATTATAAAATTGTTGAATTATAAACACCATTTAACGCTTAMACATTCTCAACTATATAGGTAAAAAGTGGAAAAAATTCAAAATCTGTTGGAAAATCAAAACATTCTAAATTTAATAAATCATATACTCCTGCTGTAGATAAATCTACCAAAGAAGTAAAACTATTATTTTTATAATTTATTTTTAAATTAAATAATAAAATTCCTAATTAATATTATAATTAATTAAAATRTTTAAATTGTTAGTCGTCAGCTATAAGTAATGGAGTTGATCAAGACAATTGGCCTCATTTAAAACTTGAATTTTTGAAACCAGAAAAAATTAAAGATGCTAATAAGAGATCACCATCTGATCCTAACTATAATCCTCGATCATTATATGTGCCAGAAGATTTTAAACTTACATTAACTCCAGTAAATATATTTTTTGAAGTTTATTATCAAATAAGTACTACATAACTAAGCACTTATTTACTGCATTTACTATATTTTATTTATATTAGGGACTTCGTCAGTGGTGGGAGTTAAAAGCACAACACTTTGACTGTATATTATTTTTTAAAGTTGGAAAATTTTATGAGATGTACCATATGGACGCTGTTACAACTGCTAAAGAACTTAATCTTTTATACATGAAGGTATTTATATAAAAAATACTGTAAATCTATATACTCTATTTCAAATAAGTCAGCTGAACCTGCGCACCCTCAGAATGTTAAGATAGCTGTGAGTGGCTGCARTAATTGGTGAGATAACTCCGACAAGCAAATGAGACTGCACATGAACAAACCGCAATACATTTCTGTAGTGATTTCTTACCAGACTTATTTGGATTAGAGTATAGTATTCAGTAGCTTATTTAAGATTTATCATAATTCATAGTTTAYATAAATAAACAATAAATTAAATATTAATACTAAATACATATTTCTAAGATTCATTGTTTAAGAGTATATCACCTTTCCAAATCTTGTCTCGGCCCATTAAATATATCAAATCATTGTTCATCAGAACCAATTTGTGTAACTAATTTTAATATAAGACTGAATCGACTTCTAAAATTAAAAGATTAGAATATTATATTATTATTTTTATCTGTGTATTATATAATATTTTAATTTTTAAGTAAATATGTACATTTTAAATTGCAATATTTTTCACACTTTTAACTTCTCAACAATACATATATTTTTTTAACCAGGCGTACAAACACAAATCTTAAGTTACCTAAATCTTATAATAAGTTAATTCACTCTTTTATTAAAGCTGACTACTCAAAATTGATTCTACTGAAGTACTGAATCCAAATTTAGTATGTTGAATGTTTGTAAATTGGAGATAACTCGAGCAAGTAAGGTGAATGCAGTGAATGTATGATGTACTGTGGTATCTTAAGAAATTGTTACATAAATATTTACTGTTTACAACGTAATGACGTGTAATTTTGTGATTTAGTAAAAAAGTTTTTCAATACTACCCTTGCTCTGGATATTAAACCCAGRAGAAGATCTAAGATTATTTTAGTGCTGTGTGCTAGTTTGCAAATAAAGGTCCTTAGGTATTTATTAGTTATTATGAAAAAAAATTATTAATTTGAAACTTGGCTAAGAAAATCAGTCTTGCTATGTGCATTTGTTTTGGATGTAATTACATTAACAATTCGACATATAATATTGTATCATAAGATTGTTGTTTTAATTAGTGGATACATAATACAATACATTTATAACTTAAATTGACCAGTCCTCTAAATGTATCTCCTTATTTTTTTTAGTAAATTCATATATAACTAATTCAATATCTATATTATATTTGTTGTCTTTGTGAACATTTAATAGAGCTAAGCCGTAGGTGCATGTAATTTTTTAATCTCCTTTAGTTTGAAAATGACCTTTCAATAGTTGCTGTAGATTGTGGGAGTGTAACCAATAATTGTAATATAGTTTTGATGTTTGGAAAAAATAATTAATAATAAACAGAATGGTGGATGCTTAAGTACCCTTCCCTCCTCTAAATCCACTCSTATTTATACTTAAATCAGAATTAATCACATAATCTCAAATAAAAATATAAAATCTTTTYACAGTTAATTTTGAATATTAATGCATTTAGGGAGACTTTGCTCATGTGGGATTTCCAGAAACCTCTTACGGTCGTTTCTCGGCAATTTTAATAGAAAAAGGTTATACTGTTGCTCGTATAGAACAAACCGAAACACCAGATATGATGACGGAAAGATGTAAAAGTTGTAAGTTATTAAATTTTACTATGCACTAATTTTTAATATTTAATATTAAACAATATTATTTTTAGTAAAAAAAACCACTAAATTTGATAAAGTAGTGCGGCGTGAAATATGTCGTATTACAACCAAAGGCACTAGAACTTTTGGTATTATTGATGGTGAAACWAATGATGCTGAAAATTCATTTTTAATAGCTATATCTGAAAAAGTATTTATTTATATTCAAACTTATTGTGATTTTTATACTCTATATGATGCATTATTTATTTAATTTTTAATAAGGAAATTAGTAATTCAACTTCTTTATATGGAGTTTGCTTCATTGATACRTCTATTGGTCTCTTCCATCTGGGACAATTTGAAGATGACTGTCATTGCTCACGTTTAAGAACCTTGTGTGCTCATTACCCACCAGTACAAGTAAATTGCTTATTGAATAATAATATACACTATATTTATTATTATTTAATATTTATGTTCATAAAATAATTGTACTTCAAATTATTCATTAAAGAGGACAAAACATCCATATGTGAAATACACATGTTTATTTTCTCCGTCTTACAAGTGCGTAACAAAGCAAATGTACGCTTAGCATATCATGTTAAACTCTGTTAGTTTAAAAATTAAAGTAAATKTATCTATTATGAAACTTGATGGTAAGAACATTATTTAGGTTTTATGTGATAATTTAGTTTTTAAGTGAGTTATGTGCTTTTTAATTTATGCTTCTTTATATACGCATAACTTGCTACAAAATTTAACTATCATACAAAAAACCTCAAGCAAACAGATCATTTTCTTAACATCAATTTTCATAATAGGTCAATGCACTCTCTGTAACGAAGCCAAATGTGATTTGCTGAGCATAAATTTGCAATGTTACGCACTTGTAAGAAAGAGACCATGAATGTATATTGTACACTCTACAAAATTTTA